TAACTTGATTTTATTTCAAAAGGTCCAGGAAAATATAGTTATTTTTTTTCTGCTGCTGGGTTGGTTCGCTCATTGAAAGAGATCCCTGTTGCTGATCTTTTCAGGCTGACCATCTGATCTTGAGTATTCAGCGACGACAGATGTTGATGAAAGTCTGTAGTTTGTTCGAAGTGTCCATCGTGATGCGCTTTCCAAGTCTCTGATCCCTATGGTAAGTAGCAATGACTTCACGCTGGAGTCGAAAATCCGGATCTTAATTTCCATGTTGAGTGCTGTTCACCTCCACACAAACTCGAAGGAAATCAAAGCTTACCCTGCTTTACCGACCTTCACTTTGATATCCTCGTCAGTTCCGTCCACCTGTTGTTGAAACGATGCTTCCCATGTCGGTAAGTAAAGGAGGTTGCTTCTTTCAGACTACTCCCATTTATGCAGGCTGATTGTTGCCTATTGTTGTTGCTGTTGGTCAGGAATCTTCATCACCACATCTGTTTTCTCTATGTTTACCTGAAGTCGCTCCTATCTCTGATGCTTCTTCTGCCAACTTGTTGCTTTTCATTTGCATTTCTCCCAGTTTGTGGGAAATCAGACATATACCATCGGCGAAATCCAGATCCTCCAAGTTCTTTTTTGTGTGGGTTTATTTTATGCCTGTTTCCTCGTTACCCACTGTCTGTCTGTCGCATTATTCAGTCTACCGCAATCAGGAAAATCATTGGACATAGTAAGCAGCCAGCTTGTCTTACTCCCGTCTTCACTTCGAAGGATTCCGTGAGTTTCCCTTCGTGGATTACTTGGCATGCAGCATTATCGCATAACTGTATGAGATGTATAATTGTCGGTGGCACCCTGTAGTAGCGAAGTAGTTACCAAATCACCTCTCGATCGACGCTGTCGAAGGCCTTTTCAAAGTCGATGAAGTTGAGTATAGAGAGCTGATTGCCATTTCAAGCTCTGTTCAGTGGTGGTCCGTAGTGTTGCGATTCGATCGACGCATGACTTGTTTCTCCTGAATCCAACCTGTTCCGGTCGAAGTTTTTCATCCAAGGTGTGTTCCTTTCTCTCCAGGATCATGAGGCTTAGTATTTTGCTTGGAATGAACACGAGCATAATTCCGCGCCAGTTCTTGCATTGACTTAAGTCTCCTCTCTTCACCAGTTTCAATAGGTATCCTTTCTTCCAATCGGCAGGTACCTTGCGTAATTTAGTGTAATTTAGTTACTGATATAACAAGGCTTTAGTGATTAATTCAAAATATCCCGCCTCTATTTCTTTTTCTATTCCGCCTTCATATCACAGTTTATAAAAACCTTACAGGGAGAATTTAATGAGCATAAAAGCTGTTCGTATTTTGCTTTCCATTGCAGTTGCTTTTCGTTTTTATTCTATTTCTTCCTCTACATTTTATGCCCCCCCAAGTGACTAACTGTGCTTTTTACCAATTCTTGTGTCTGCAACCTTGTCTGTTGTGGTGTTGTTACCAGAAAACATTACACTGACTACTACTTGCAAATTGGTGTCATTTAGTAGCATACACCGCAAGCCAAGTTAACAACCCCTTAGTAGCACGTCTAGGAGACAAAATGTTGATGACAGGAAGTATAAAATACTCACCGTGGATTCAAAGTAAATCAAAATACTTAAAGTACAAAACTAATGAACAAATGGAACACTTACAGATACAATGTCATCCTTTATTATCCAACTGATTAGAAGATTTTCCAGTTCTTGTGTAAATCTGTCCAATTAAAATATAACATAAAATCATATAGTAGTTACTCATCAGTTTGAAAAGAATCAAATATTACAAAATCTAAGCATAAATAAAATAAATATGCACAGATTGATGAAAACTAATCCTTTTTCAATGCCCACTTTTCTTTTACCGAACTGGATAAATCTCAATTTTGAAATAGAAAGGTGTTTTAGACTATCACTTTATAGGACTGACTGACTGACTGGTTTCGACGAAGAACTTTGCACAGATGTGCAGCAGTTCCAGTTGCCACGCACCATCTCTCTCCTTGTAGCACACAAAGCAAGATAAGAGATCGAAAAAGACATTCAAAAGAGAGATAATAAATAGAAGTATCAGTGAGGGAAAAAGAATAGTAATATGGAAGCATAGTAGATTTTTATTGGATATGATAAATTACAAAGAGTGAATGCATCTGCACTGTGCATTCAGAACGAGGATTTCGAGCCATATCACCAATTGTCTCCAGCCTTCATTGGTTTTTACCATTCTGAGGAACCCAACTAGTCAGGAAGTATGCACCTTTCCACGTGGCTTAAATTAACTGATATGTATTTCATTGACTGGTGAAGCCATGTTTTGGTTTGACCACCATTGACTAGCTGTTTACCAACCTGATCAATCCTATGTCGGTCGAGGAAGGAGATGGCTAGGCATGCGTAACACATGTCCTAACCATCTCAATCGGTGTAACTTCACAATCTCATCGACTGATTTCCTCTCATCACCTAGCACTCGAAGGAGGCCTAATCTCAATATTGCTCACTCTGTTACACCACTTCGCTTGGGAGATAGGACGCAGACACCTATGATCAAGGACAGATAGCCGTTTTCTTTCTTCCACTTCCAATAGCCTTGTCTCACAGCCATACAGGAGGATGGAGCGAACTGTGCTGCTGAGGATTACACACGGCGTCCAGTCGACAGCCCGCCGGATATCACGTCTGCTAGACCAGAGGTGACGTAAGTTGGCATTTGCGAAACGAGCCGTCTGTATCCGTATCCGTGCTGAGATTTCGTCAGCGATCAACCAGTTGGCGTTGGCTGATGCAACTTCCCAAATAAGTCAAGTGGTCAACATGCTCCACAAACAAACTTCACTCCCTATTTCTGAACTAGGAGTCAGTGTAGTCCAGTCAGTCCTGTAGCATCATCTTACATTTGACAGCACGAGTGAATCTCGCATGCCAAACATTCGCAGATTGCAGCTCCTCAAGGTATTCAGAAGACTCTGCATTTTGTCTGCGTCCTCGCCTAGAAGGACTATATCGTCTGCATATTCTAAGTCAACGAGATTATTCCTTCCCTGGTAACAACAAGTCGATCCCTGAGTCGCTGATTTCTTTTAGTTAATAATTTGTGTCCAGTGAGTACATCACTTCAATGTCAATCTATCTAACAAATATAACCAACCATATATCCTACTTAAAGTAGATAGAGTAGAAATACCTCAAAATACTTAAATGTTATGATACTACGACATGCTAACTTACACTTCCCAGTCTGTTACAGCTGTATAGTCTTCAAACGTTTCTCCACTTCTTTCCTACGAAAAAGGACAGTGAATATTTTAGATGAAACATTTCAGGCTTTAAAATAAGAAGTTCAGTGTATTGTCTTTATTTGAAAATTTACCATCAATGAAAACTTACTGTAAATGTACATTTACTCATCGATTCAGTCATATTCTCATCTCTGTTTGTTTTTCACAGATAAATTCTGTAAATAAAAAAAGAATTGAAAAACTCGATTAAACACAAGTTACTAATGGATGTAACAGACATGTAACAGTATTAAAGTGCTTTACAATGCATAAACGACTTCTATCCTACAGGTTATCTGTGACACAAAGCAAAATTAGAGGAGACTAAAAATTTAAAAAAATATTCTTGATTTCAGTTTCACAGCTCTTTTGAGGCAGTTTTGTTTTAAAAAGGAGGAGGTTATGGAAACGGGTCAAGTTGACTGGGCCTTTTCTGTATATCAAACCACTTTCGTGAAATGTGTGATGACACCCAACGTGAAAGACAAGGAATGAGCTATGCTAAGGTGGAACACCAATCCAATCGTTGTTAAAAGTGTGACTGTGTGTTTCACAATTCACGCAACATTACTACAATCCTAATAGTGTTGTTGTACATCAGGGATTGTAAGCTTACAGTGACACGTCATGACAAAATAAATCATTATGGCACCACTATACTTCCATTGTTCTCAATATTTTCTAAATGTATCATGTATCCGTTTCTTATTCTGATCATATTATTCGCTTAACGTACTTTTAGCTGTTATTTCTTCGGAGAACTTTAAGGCCGAGGTGACTGCGGTTTTATTTTACCTTCAGTCATCAATCATCAGATCAGTGCGAATCGGTCAGTCCACGGTTATGTAAGATAGTCTCACTAGCAAACACACAAATCACTGATCACTTCAAAAACGATCAATATTTCGATTTGACACACTTGATAGTCTCACTATAGAGGAAAATCAACCCCGCGTGTAATTATTTCAGGCTGTAGTCAGAGAAATAAAAAGTACTTCTAAAGAACAAATAAGCGGATACCTATAGGACAACAGCTGCTTGCCTTACAAAGCAACTTCTCTATTAGTTATAAACACGTTGACATCGTAACGAATAATTGACACGATATGTTTCGCATTGTTTACTACATCACTGAATGCTGTTAGTGCAACTACTTTTAGTGAGGCTTTCATCTACTTGTATCTACTGTTGTGCCTACGGAATCTTGAAAAATACCTCAGGTTTTAAAAGGTGTGAGGACCTCCCGACAGTGAAGTAACTCAATGGATTTCTGCGTTACTCTCTCAGATTTGGCGAAGCCAAAATTTAAAAAAATGAATTGGTAGAAGTTAAAATTCATGGGTCGTTGGATCGGGTCCCAGTGGCTTAATGGTCTACGAACTCGCCTTGAAACCAGAAGGTCCTGAGTTCGATCCTATGGTGAATGCGTACTGATGAAGAGTCCCAATCTAGGACAATGGAACAGGACAGCTATCCAGTACTCCCAGGTTTCCCAATGGTTCTCTAAATGATATCAGCTGATGAATAAATCCTCCAGCCAATCAAAAAAACAGAATAAGTTTCTCACTGCCATAGGATTGCAACGAAAATGAGGTTGATTGTGATGCACAAACAGACGATACCCAAATACAACCACTCTTTATCCCAAGACACCACGTCACGTCACGGACAGATCATCTCTCCGCTTTTCGCAACCAATTATAGGGCTACAAAATGTTACGTAAGCCGTTGTGATGGCAGCCAATGAAATCGGAAGCCCTACATGAGATTACTTAAAGTAAGGAGACCTCTACCTCAAGGTTATTTGCTTGGCGTCGCCATCTTACAGGCGCGGATAGTAAGACATGAGTAGTTACTGCACAACCTTAGGCCGGACTGAACAGGTTTTACAATAAGAGAAAATAAGAGTATGTTGTGAGACGCTTTATAGACCAAGTCCACCTAATAAGCTTTCTGTACGACTCCCACAATAATGACAACCTTCTCAGGAACACTCAACTCTGCCAAACAGTTCTAAAGAGAAGTCTTGTGTAAAGAATAAAAGCTAACCGTTGTATCAAGAAATAATCATTGTCCCTGCGCTCGAAATGTCATAATATTCCAATAATCAGTAGACTTACGGTCAAAACACCCATGGACCAAACGAAACCCAGTCTATTATTTGTGAACCAGCTTTACATGTATTTCGCAAAGTATGTGAAGTAAATCGGCACTCAGTATTCCGGCTAAACTGCTAACAGACCAATAATCTAATCAATGTCAGATGCATTACACAGCCCACTTCGAATATTAAGCACAACGATTTCATTTTACATTGATCAATCTCCCAACCATAGCTTCTTAAGCAATACTGTCAGTTTAGCCGCCAATCTAGCCAGCATCTTTAAAAATAGTTCAAACAGGTACTATATGATACCTGAGTACTGACAGGTCTTTTCCGATAACCGCTTCATTGCATGTTAGAACAGTAGTCTAGATTGGATTTTTTATAAACAATGCACAGTGGCATTTAATATGTCAGGGCTGATGACTTCATTCAACTGTTCACGCAAAAGAAGGTGAGGTGGAACTGGGATCCACTGGTTCAACGTGCCTAGATCGATAAGCAACACCCGCCTTATATAACAAGCAATCTGTTTTGAGTTGTCACGAGAGATCTGATTGTTTCCCTATGTGGATTAACTTATCTGCTGCTTGTGATTCGTAGGCAGTGACCAAGTTATTAACTAACTGCAGGCAGGTGAATATGTCAGAGAATATTGATCGCAACATCCCGCTGTAGTACCATAACACTTCATCACTTTTTTCTGCACCGATCCCAGGAGGTTGGTCAGTTTTCTAAAAGACAACAGAACTACATTGTGACGCCTAAGACAGAGTCAGCAAATAGCTGATTTCCTGTTGTCTTCAAGGACTGGGACACCCATTCCCTTCCGGAATAAAATCTGGCGAAATAATAATTTGCTTTATTCCAGAAACAGTACTAGTGGTACAGTGTAGAATTTTCAGCACAATATCTACAATATTTGCATCTAATGTTACAAACATTTAAGAGTATTTAACAACAACAAAATCTAAAGACCAACAGCAAAAAAAACAGGATAAACACAAAAATAATTATAAATGCTGAAAAGTACCAAGAAGTAGAAAGGAAAATAAACATCGTATAATAATAACTCACTAGTGGGTAGTGGAAGCTATGATATGATTATGCATGGTGACAGTAAAGCTATACAAAGTGATTATAAGTTGTGTAGAAATTTCATCCGCGAATCAGTTTTGTAAGATCGGATATTACTAAAGCAAATACCATTACCGTCACGGTTTCACTCTTGTGATTTGTTGCATGACTCTATCTATCTATCTATCTATACATTTATGTGCCTGTATATATAAGCTAAAGATTACACACATAAACCATGCATAAAAAATCTGGTGTAACAATGAAATCATCACATCAGTCCCTATCGTTCGCATCATCATCGTCGTTGGCATCTGCAGCTGCATCAGCATCAAATATGTCTAGACGGAGTGATCGTTTACTGCCTATTCATCCGAATAATTCGAACGAAGTGATACGCGGGGAATGGGAGTCAATTTCACAATGGTTATGCGATGTCCTGTCATCTGGTGATGTTCTGTGTGTGTGAAATTAGTCCAGTATTCAGTTCAATTCAAAGATTTATTGACGTTTTTCGAATGCGTCTATCTATCTAAAACGCATCGAGTGGCTTCGATTCGTTTAGTTGTAGCGTATATCTGCTGTCCAAATATTGATACGCAAGTTAGTTAGTAACAGTGCAATGGAATTATTAAAGAAACTAATGGGTAAACCATACTCATCTGCTATGTCTATTGACTGGAAAATGTTTTTCGATATTTGTACATGGGCTGAAGAAAAGTTGGAAACATCATATCAAGTTGTTAAATGGCCTAAGTCACGAATTGATAAACTGTATCATTCCAATATCGCTTTATGTTCAAAATTCTCTCCGAAGACGTCAATTGAAGAAATATGGTTAACATTTCGTCACAGTATTTGTAGTGATTTGATTACTGGGTTACCTTGTACGCTATTGCATAAATTCTTGATTTATACACCATTCTATCCTAAATATTTTGATGATGAGATTAGTCGTGTCTGGCTACCAGACATATTCGGTATATGGCATATCCAACCAAGTTGTAAATCCCTTCATGAAATTATTGAAATATTATGCAAAGTTTCACATATTGGTCGTCGTCGTATCGATTGGGAACCGCATATGGAGCGTATATTCACTGCAGTGTTTCGAGGCATTACGCTTAGAAATACACCATTGTGTTCTAGAGAATTAATGGACAGTGATCAAATATAGCTGTATGCAGAATTAATTAATAATGAATACTATTGGTCCAGATAGACCAGAGTGTCAATCCACTGTGATTTATCGTTTAGAACAGTTGTTAAAGTCACTTGAATCCTTCTATCATCCATCATCGAATCAAACTGATTCAGCAAAACTGCAGTTGGCATGGTTTATATGGAAGTTTTCACGCTGCTTAATTAGTCGTTTACGTGATGAATTATTCCCTCCAGTTGAAGCATTAGACTTAGGCTATACACCACCAGAATCTCTCAGTGGAACAAGTTGATCAAATTGTCAATCTATTCACACCGATTTGTCTAAATCATTTTCTTTATTCAAAATCAATTACAATTGTTAATATAGCTGTAAAAATTATTCCAATGTCGTGTAAATTACGACCAAGTCTAGTGTTACCAAATCTTCTCAACGATCTTGAATTTGGTTTAACCAGACGAGAAACGCCATTACGTAATGGCATAATGGTGAGCTTCCTCAACCAATGACTAGCATGCGTTCAGGGTCATTGGAACATTTGCAATCCTGGGACTCTATTCTTGTTCTAAGATATAGCTGGTCGTGCTTAGAAAGAGAGCTACGTGCTGAATTAAGTCTTTTTGTTTTCAAGTAACACTTTTGTGCTTGATACGTCCTGTGAGGGCTGGAACAGCGCAGATAAGCAAACCCAGAAGGTTCTGATCCACTCCTGAAAATGTCTAGAAAAAAACGCGGTGCTGCATTAGTACCAGTGATAATGAAAACCAGCAGAGTCCTAGTCTGTGCCAATAAAGAATCCATTTCAGAACAGATTCAGCATTTACTCACTAAAAAATGTTAGAATTATTTAATTCAGTCTTATCGTGAGCTTGGGTTATAGTACATGCATAGTTCATAATACAATTAATCGCATTCATGCAAATGAATAATGAGGAAATCAAAAAAGCTGAGTGAGATAAGTTGGAATTCTTAAAATACTGAAAATAACAAACTTACCGATATGTGACGAATGACCTTGAGTACCGCATGTATTAAATAATTCGACTTCAAGATCCAATGTCCTTCTACGAGCAGATGTGCACTACATTTATTTCTTTCAAGATATTTCCTAGTAGCGACATAAAACTTCGTGATCTTGCGTTCATTCGTCAACTGTGGCTCTGTTAGATCCTTCAGAGAGTGGTATGGAGGCATGGTGTTTGCGATTTGAGTTCAGTATTTTGTTCTGACCGTAGCTAGACTTTCCGCCTGTTAGTCGTCCAGCGAGGTCAAAAAGTGATGTAATAACAACGAAAACCTTATGACTGATCTCTGAAATCTGAACTTCAGACGGGAAGGAACTGACAATTTTATTATTTAGAACAATTACTGAGTAGTAAAGTACTGAATAGGCGGGTTAGGCAAGAAAGTGGCTCAGGAAGCACTGAGTTGACGTCAATAAACAGTCCAGTATGGACCTATCAATAGAGAGCTGTATATGAGGGTCGCTTATCAACTTCCAGTGAACAGTCCATTTGTACAGCGTCCTCCTATCACGGCATGGTTAGCTAACCCCCATGTGCGTCGGTGGCACAGTGGTTAGGACTCTCGCCGACCATGCACATGGTCCGGGGTTCGATCCCCTGCCGGCGCACACCCGATATCTATGGTCGGCCTGAATTTGGGCTACCGATATCCATGCTGAAAATTCCACACTTGTACTGAAAATACGGTGTGGAATCAAGCTGTAAATAAAAATAAAAAAATAAATAAAAAAAGCTTTGTACTGGAGCTGAAGTAGCCTCGGTTGCTCAAAAGCGTTAGACTCAAAGTGAAAGGAAATGCGCTAAGGGATTCTGTGACTTCACATGTGGTATCTTCATTGGGTTGTGAAGAAATCCGTAATGACTTACTGACGGAAAATATTTGTCTGCGCGAATTCGGCAACTTGTAATGTTGTAAGATCCGATCAGGTCATTCCCACGGCCTCACCCCACAGTTATTCCTCCTTCGGAATCTTACTAAGTGTTTTGCATCACTTTGAAGCAACGAGTGAACGATGACATTATGCACGTCAAGGGACGGTGGAATATAACTTTTCCACAGTTATGGGAGCACCTAACTGCCTATAAGTGAACTGTGATTCCGCGCAAACTTTAGCCAGTTTATTCAAGCAATTCACACGTGTTTATACCCATTTGTAAAGTGTGACCAGCTATCCATTAACTCCTAGTCGAAAAACTCAGAAGTGAGAGGTTATTTCCTTTAGAAGTGGTCTCTGATACATAATGATTGTGTGGAAGGGATGATTCCTCTTGTCTTTGCAATTCCTGTAAGATGTCTTCTGAGGAAGAGGATATAGGTCGAGAACATTATCACCTCCTGAAATTTCGGATATTGTAATGATATCACTTCTCGGGGTGCTAAATGATAAACAGAATACATATTGTCCTTCTCAGTATGCTGAATCGAAGATTAAAAATGTGGCAGTCATTTCGGCTCTTTCCCACTAAGTGATTGATGATGAACATCACCATATGACACACCTCATTATTTAATTTCTTGGTGGTAGGATTATTTATTCTTCTAGAGGAAAAGATGCTTGGAAGCAGTTGAGTATGACATCAAGGATTCCGAAATTTTCTTTAACAGTGTTAAGGGGAGCTACCTGAACTCTGTGCAAGCAGTATAAACAGCCTTCTTGTTGTCCCTAGACTCAAACCAGATTTCTTTCGAGACGAGGAGATTTGTCAGACACCAGAGGAAAACTATCCTGATCACTGGATAACACATGTTTGTTTCCCACGCAATCCATGACAGCTTTCATGATAATTATTTTCGGTATCTTAATTCGAGTGTTGGTAAAACTGGCAGGTCTCAGGTTTGAAAGATGGTGCTTTGCACACCCTTTGTGAATAGGAGTTATTAATGCATTCTTCCATTCAAATGAACATCCCTCCTAGTTTACTGGCTTGCTAATTTTCTGCCCAATGCCGAGCTCGGGTAAAGAGGGAGAGTTGGCCGTGGGGCTAGCGACCCCACACCACTAAACCTATCAAACTGCTAGAGAAACTTCAACGCACAGAAAATATAATAAAAATACGAAAATTCAAATAACAATCTTGTTATTTTCTATGATTGGAGAGGCGAAATGATACAGATGGCTGGTGAAAGACTTTGGGAAGCGTCTCAGCCAGCCGTTGTGTCTTCTCTCAATGGAAGCAAGAATAAGAAAGGGGATATAGAATGTTCGTACAATGTACAAAGCTGGCTGGGAAGACTACCCAGAGGCCAAAGAAATGGGAAGATATAGCATAGAAATATCGAGCATCTGGCAGAGCAGATGGAATGGATGTGGACTGTCGAAACTATCAACTGGAGAGTTTGTAATCGACTCCAGACTGGTCACCAAGACGACAACCACGATCACACTGAGGCAGTGAGTGGCTATCATGATGTCACCAGTTGCAGCCAAAACTCGAATGCAGTGGAAATCAATACCATCCATGATCATGACAGCAGGATTCAACTCAAAAGGAAGGATGGTTACAATCATCGGATGCTATGCACAATCCTACAAACAACGCTGAACGAGAGAAGAAGGAAGATTTCTACAGGCAACTACAAACAGTAATGGACGACATCACAAATGGACACATAAAAATTCTCATGGACTATATGGATGCAAGCCAAACTAGGACAGATAATACGGGAAGAGAACTCACCATAGGTCGACAGGCTCTCGGAGAAATGAATGAGAACGGAGAATGCTTAGCGGACTTTTGTCCTTCAACGATCTAGTGACTAAGGGTAGCGTTTGCAAGCACTAGGATACACACAAAGCGACGTGGATTTCTCATGACGGGCATACCACAAACCAGATTGACTTCATCTCAATCTCAAGGAAGTGGAATCGCAGCCTACTGCATACAAAGTCGAGAAGGGGAGCAGATGTTAGCTCCAACCACCATTTAGTTCAAGAAACCTTCAAGGTGAAGTTGAAATCACTCAAAACAAATTTTTATCTTATGTTTTATTACAGCTTGATTCCACACGTACTTTTTGGTACAGTTATGGAATTTTCAGCATGTGATATCGGTACCCCAAATTTTGCGGGCCGACCATGGATATCAGGTGTGCGTCGGCAGGGGATCGAAACCCGGACCCTGTGCATGGTCGGCGAGAGTCCTAACCACTGTGCCACCGACGCACATAGAGACAAGCCAATGAAACTCAAGTTAGACATTCATAAATTGGAGGACAAAACTACAAGAGATGCATTCGCTGCAGATATCAGAGCCAACTACGTGGCATCACTAAGGAAACCTGCGCGGGGGAGCATTGAAACTAACTGTCTGAAGGTGATGTTGAGGAAACCAATAAAAGATGCTAAATGGAACCTGGTTACCAAGGAGTAGAAACAAATAAAACAATGGGCTGGTCACTTTAAAGGACTCTCGAATCGACCATGACCTGCAACTCGGCCAGAAATACTACCAACAGCACGAACCGAACTGCATGTTAGTGGACAAAAATCCTTCAACAAAGTAGGAATCTTGAATGAGATCTAGCTAGTAAGCACTTGCAAGGAAGGCAGTAGGACCAAACTACATTACACAATGCATTGATAATGGGCATTCAGTTACAACATGCTTTCTCGACGTTAGCAAAGCCTTCGATAAGGTCCCAAATATCAGACTCCTAAGAAAACTCCAGCCCTACAGAATAACTGAGAAGCCTCTCAAAGGGATAAACTCCTTTCTCACAGATATGGAGCAGTTAGTCAAAACCAACGACCAGCTGTCTTTACCAAAGCCGATATCTAATGGCTCTTGGCCCTATCCTACTCCTCTTATTCATACATGACATAGCCTCTGTGATCAAGTATGGTAAGCCATACCTCTTTGCAGATGACCTCAAGATAGTATACGATTAAGGGTACGATGATATGAGCGTCGAAAGCAAGATCCAGCATGACTTAAACAATCTGGGCGATTGCAGCGAAAAGTGGCAACTGACTTTCAACCCAGACAAGTGCGGTATAGCCCACCTTGGACGGTGGAAACCAAGAATGTGCCTACATATGTACATTAAGCTCCTCTCAAAACCGAACACAGTCACAGGTCTCGGGATATCATACTCAGATTTGACCTTCTCCGATGATGCAAATAAGGTTGTATCTGACTGTAAACGACTTAATGGCTTTGTACTACGTAACTTCTACACCCAAGAAGCAAGATTAGCTATATAATAATAATAATGATGTATTTCATATAAATTTACAAATTTACATGAAAATGCATGCCATTTTTA